GTGTGGGCAGGGCAGTTATCAGGGACCCCATTGTGTTTACTGCTGAGACTGGAGTTACGGTGTCAGCTATTGGGCATCTTGGTCTGTTTTCTCTCTCCCAAAGGAAAACAAAATCCTATTGGAAAGGCAGCTGGCAAACGTCCTAAGTTTTGAAGGGAGAAGAGAAAGAGGAGCCAAAATTAACTACAGCACCAGTCAGCAGACACCTGACCATGGCTCGTGTTTCCAGTTGCCTAGTGTCAGCTTCTAATACCTGAAAGAAGGGAGTCCCAATAACCCTTTGCATTTGCACTGGGCACCTCTGCTTAGAGAGTTATTTCATTTTAGCCTCACAACAACCCAGTGAGGTCCATGCAAGCTACAGTCACTCACACTTGAGGGGTGTGGCAACTGAGTCCTGGAACAGTGATGGATCGATCTGCCCAAGGTCACCCAGCTGGTAAACTGTGCTGCCCAGCTCAGGCTCACGGCTTCAGAAAACAAAGCTAATTAAACAAAGCTCTATTCTTCCTCCTAGTCCATGAGCTTTACTCAGCCCATACTGAGGCATTCTGAAGGTAACAGAAGCAGTGTTTGAAGAGGGTCCATCTCCATGGACTGGGTATATTACAGGAAAGAAGAGTAGGGATCTTGCAATTAGACTGAGTCGCAGCCCTGCCGCTTACAGCCAGATAACAGTGGGGGAAATCACCTGTTTAATTTAATTTGAAGTGTATTTGATTTACGTGTTGTGTTAGTTTCTGGTGTACAGCACAGCGAGTCAGTTATACATATACATATATTCTTTTTCATTATGGGTTATTACTACATATTGAATATAGTTCTCTGTGCCAGACAGTCGGACCTTGTTGTTCGTGGGAAATCCCCTTGTTAAGCCTCAATTTTCTCATCTGTGAAAGGATAACGTGCGGATTAAATGCTACATCTTCCTGAAAACTGCTTAACACAAATTACTCAATATACACTCACTGATTGTGACTGTTGATACCAGCAGTGACGTTAATCACTGATTCTGTTTTAATTCAGCGATCCTGCATAGGGTCCCATCACCTTGGTTATTTTTCAGGATGGAGGTGGGATCCCACATTCTTAGGCATCTTCTCTATTTCACAAACTTCCTTATCCTGTTTCCTAAAAGTATTGCAAAGCTGCCTTTTTTTTTTTAACCATACCCTCCAGTGAGAGTAGTTTCAATGCTGTTGCTGTCAACCTTCTGGGGCTTGAGGATAGAAATCCTGTGGGTGGGTGGTTATCTTATCTTTTCACCCTGCTGGTCATTATTCAGCCAAGCTTAACACATTTCTGCCTTTTCATTTTTTTTTTCTCACACTCTGTCTAGTCAAGTTTCTAAAGCGGCAAACTTGTCATTGAAGCAATCAGACAGAACACTTAGCATTTTCCTCACACGCACAAGCTTCCAAAGTACTTTTCCATCCCTCTCCAGTGTTCAGTCTCTAGAGGGAAAGTGGTGTCCAGGAGCGTGTCATTAAGAGAAGGGAGCATGGAATATTCTGGAAGTGCCAATGCCTCATGAGGACTCAGAAAGTATCCACTGAGGAAGAGGAGAAACAGAGTTGGGGAGAGAATTAGGGACCTGCCTCAGGTCAGAAAACTGGATTGCAGGGCCTAAAGAGCCCTGGGCCTCCTGGTTTCTAGAATTCTGTTTCCCAGATGGCACTTGAAATTTTTGACATGAGTGACACAGAGCAGTGGAGAGGTCAGGTACACCAATAAAGGAAGAAGAGGTCTGGGACATGATCACACGCTGTTTATAGGGTGGCTGCTAAGGGAAGATGAGGCTGGACAAGCTGTAGCACAGGGGAGGGATGGGAAAAGGTGAGCGCCTTCCTCGACTTCAGAAATCCGATGCTATTTCTAATGGTTATTGAGTGTCTATAAGCAAAGGACGTGAGAGGTATTAGAGACTGAAGGAGTTAAAAACACGAGTAAGATGTTTTCTTACGTCAAGGAGCTTGGCATGACACAGATTACACATGTTGAGAAACAGTGACCTAGAAGCCCAAATGGCCGAATTCCCAGCTCACAGATTCACGTCTGGGGCACTTTCTCTTGAGCTCTGGTCTTGGGGAGGGGAGTGGCTTGGCACCTCATTTTCCACACCTACCAGAAGGAAACACATGACATACACAAAACCATGCGGAAACAGTAATTCTGCTAGTAAAATACGTGCGAGCAAATCCTAAATTTCTCTTCTACATATTCTCAGGCTCTTGTGGTGTTGACACTGAAGGTAAAATATTGACTTGATTTCTCCTAGATAACAATGCTTGCAGTTTCTGTTGGTGACTATTGAGCATGTGTGGCACCCCTGAAACCCTTCTCTCACCTTTAACCTGCCCACTTCCCTACCTGCACTGACTCACCTTGACGGACTCCCTACAATATGCCCAGGAATGTGGCTGACACCTTGCAAATGTCAGGCATTGTCATAAGATGCTAGGTTCCACAGAGATGAGTAAAATCGTTCTTCTGCTCTTCAAGAATTCAGAGTCCAGTGGGGAAGACAGACTTGTAAGCAGATATTTGCACAGCAAACTCAGTCTGATTTATGGAACTGGGAAGCACCTCAAAGACTCTGGAGTTCCTACATGTTCTAAGCCATCCATCATTTAATAATGATAACAGCTAGTACTTACATGTGATTTAATAGGTTTCAGGTGCTTTAAGTGTATTAATTCATTAGACTCCACAATCTAATAGGTTAGGAGCTATTCTTTTATTTACTATCTTCTTTTAGGATAATAAAACTGAGACACAGGGAGGCTGTCACATGCCTGAGGTCACACAGCTTAAATGACAGAATTTGAATTGAAGTATCCTAGGCCCACAGTCCATGCTTTTAACCACAAACTACACAGCGTTTCAAATGAGGCAGTAAAAAATGCTTTTCTGTGGGACAGAGGAGATTATGGCCTGTCATCCACTGTCGCCTTCGGGCCTCTCTGGCTGCTTTACAACCAGCATATATTACATGCTCCTTATGTGCCAGACACCATGCTGAGTGCTCTGAACACATCTCATGTAACCCTCGTTATCACTCACAAGGCAGGTACTAGCATTACACTCTGTTATGGGCTGAACGTTTGCATCTCCCTAAAATTCTGGAGTTTCAACAAAGTCAGTTAAGCTTTTCTAGTTCCCTCAGCCTAAGACCAGCTGTGCCAAGCCCTTCACTCTGGGAATGTGTTTGTATCCACCTCTTGCTGAGAAGATCAGATTCCACCAGCCCACTTACTGCACAGAGCCAGAGCCAAGTTAGGAGTGCTGGAGGGAAGAGAATGGGGGATCAGTAGAGGAGCCCCTTGCAGTTGCAAAGGCCCTGATTGAATAGAGTCTGGGGGCTGCTGCTGATGTCACCCTCCACAGGGACCACTATCCAAAGCCCAGTCCTCACTCTTTGATGGTTATTCAAGAAAACAGAAATTCGCCAAGGATCTCTAGCCATTTCAAAAGTTTTTAAAATCATTACTCAGAGGAAAAAATAATTCAGGGTTACTCCTATAGAGGTCCTGGCCAAAGTCTAACCTGGAGTATTAGGAAAAGGGTCATAAAAATGAGAAAAGGAAGACAGTTTAATGTGGAGAATGAAGAACAGGCAGCTCGGCAGATGGCGCTCTACAGGAGTGCTGCTGCCCTGTGAAAGCTCTTGGGTTGTTGTGCAACTTCCATTCACCTTCTTAAACTTCCTGAAACATTGGCCACTGATGTACATCTATTGATGGCCCAGCAGCCATACAAACACTGTCCATCAATGGCCACAGGGGTCCTGTGCCCAACAGGTTCAGACACTTGATACTCAATCTCATTTATCTTCATTTTTTAAAATTGATTTGCTGTAAGAAAAAAATCTGGAGTGATACAATCTCTTCTTTTTCCTGTCTTAAGCAGTTACTCTCTAGCAAATACTCAATTTCATTTTCTAGATGTACAGAGAAATCTCTTGAACTGTCATTCACAATTTCAGCTCTCAGGCAAATCAAACAGATTCAAAACAATTGCTACAAGAGCTAAAAAGGAAAAAAAATAATTCGGCGCATCTCTTGTATGCTTTTGCTTCATGCGATTTGAGCTCCATGTACTGTCCGTCATTCCTACTATATACAAGAAACACATGGGGCAGAACTTTTGCGGGCGGAACTTTGTAACTCATGTAATTTCCAAGTAGGAAATTAACTAGTCTCCCAAATAGTCACAGTGCATCTAAGTATGCAAGGAATTATGCTAGAAACTGACAAGGTGTAAGTTGGATTCTGTGTCCACCAAGAGATTGCAATATACATGCCTAATAGGTAGCATTTGACAGCTCCAGAACAGGTGCTACAGGAAGCGGGCAGGCAATGGGGAGAATGAGCACTTGGTAGATACTGAAAGGTTCTTAGAAGAGCTGGGATGAAGCTTGTCTTTAAGAATCCATAAGGTTCAGATCAGTGAGGTGAAGACGACGGGAGAAGGTTATAAACAGCACAGCATTAAAAGGAAAATAAGAAGCACATTCATGGTAAGCCTGCATGGCCGGAGAAGAAGCCTCGTGGAAACAAGGAAGTAATGACCTTTACATATGGCTGGAGATAGTCTGATAACAAAGCCCTTTTCTAGGTAAGAATCCTTTAGGAATACAATCCATCTAGGCAAGTTTTCTGGGGAAGCCAGTGCCCACCACCTCCTGTACATACTGCTGGTTTTCTCAGGGTTTGGCTGAGAAGCACTAGCCCTCAGAGCTGCATCAGGCAAGGATAATTCTGTCCTCTCTGCTCCCCCGCCAGGTAATGGTCCCTTCCCCAGTAGGCTGTAAGCTCCTTTCTTGCTGCTTCCTGCCTCTGTCTGCTCATATCTGAGTCACTTGCCTTAACGCTGCAGACTTTGATACCTGGCTCAGTCTTCCCACCAGCATCCTGGGTGATGCTAGTAGTCCCAAGAGGATGAATCCAAGATCCTTGGCCCTGGCTCTGTTAACCTTCTCATCTTTGATGACCGTCCACACTGCTTCAGCCGCCCACTCTCAAGCCTATATACCTTGAGCCTCATCATCCACCTAGACCTGCTCCACCTGAAATAACAAGTTCACACATCCCAAAGCTGAACTTACTGTCTTGTTTATCAAAGCTGTTTAAAGCCCATGTCAGTGGATCATCCGACTATCCATCCATTCCTGCATCCTGGATGCCGCCCTGGCCCACCCCCACTCCCAATCAGGCACAGATCCTGTTGTTTCTACCTACTTATAGCTCATGAACACAACTGCTTCTTTCCATTTCCCCCTAAATCTCTTATTCATTGGCCGCCATCCCTTCTGGCCCAGATCTTGGTAACAGTTTCCTAACTCATCTCCCTGACCTGCTTCATGCCCATTCAGTTTCATTCTCGCAACACAGCTGGAGCCGGCTGTTCAAGTTGCAAATCACATTAGGCCCCTCCTTCCCTTTTTCATGGTGCTTCCCTGTCCTCCAAACTTCTTAGCATGCTATAAAAGGCCCTCTCGAATGTTGCCCCTTGCCCTCTTTCTTGCCCGGTCCCCACTCATCATCCAAACCTGAGACATCACCTTCTCTAAGAAGCAATTCCCAAGCTCCCCAGCCTGGTTTGGTGAGCCTGGCACGTCCTCCCCCCAGCACTCTGTGCTCGCCTCTGCGATGACATTTATCACACAATTGAAATCGCTTGTTCACAAGACTGTCTCCAGCACCAAACACAGTTTCCAGAATACAGCTGGAGCTCATAAATGCTTGTGAAATGTACGAATGAATGAAGGGATATCTGAGAAAAATATCTGAATGCAGAAATGGGAGGTAAGGCAAAGTAAAAGAAATTTAAGTTTTCACACTCCACAAGGAGGTAGGAATGACAGAACAATGGACAGAAAGGGACACTTACAGAAGAGGAAGAGTTGGTTTTGGTGAATGAAAACAATGCTTTCCATTTGCGCAGGCCGCCTGGGAGATTATGGCTAGATATAAAGGAACAGAGCCCCGGAGACACAGAGCTGGGATTTATACACACAGAAGATCTCTTTGAAGCTATCTACATGGATGATGCCTTCCATACAGAATTTACAGAGAGAAGAGCAGAGGACAGAGGCATATTCGTGGAGGAAGTTTTAGTAATTATCCAGATAATTCAAGTCTAATGAGGCTTCTTTTCTCAATTTGCTGAATAATTGGCTCCATTGTTTCTGATGTTAAAGATCTGCTGTTTTGGTTTTTTTTCTTCCTAACTACTCTTACTCTTTTTTTGAGCATTCTTCTGTGCTAACTCCAGCTGTTAATTACCTCGTCACAATCAGGTGATTGTGATTTCTGTTGCCTGTTTTCATGCCGTATGATGCTTATCTTTCAAATGGCTTGTGCTGTTTTCCCCCAAAAGATAATGTCTTTGATCAACATATTAGCTGGCTATTCATCCATCCAAGTTTTACCAGAAATATTCTTGCCCGCTCTTCCTCCTGCTTCCTCAAAGTTGATTTTCTGTAAGAAAGTCTGTGTTTTGAATTTTCTTCTCCTCCATTTCAAGGGAATATTTGTGATTCCTTCAACATAACACATAATATGGACATATCCTTATGCCTGCTTGTCAATTACAAAAGTCCTGCCAGTGATTGAAAGTACAATGCGTTGGCATGTCACGAGGGCTACATTTCACCCCTAGAAGCCAAAGTCGGCCAACCTTTTCCTAATTGAAATATAAAAGATTTCATTTAGTGAAACCACAATTATTCTTCAGGGCTGACATAAAAATACAAGCGCACTTCGTGAATCTGATATGTCTTTCCTGCCAAGGGCAGAATCTTCAGTCTTTTGAAAGAACTTGTATATAGTGATCCTTATTCTAAATAAATTCAATACACTACATTTCTGATTCTCATGGAATTCCTACAATATGTCCCTGATGAATTTGTCCAGCTGGAAGCTGACCTGCTTTTAAGTGTGAAACTGCATCCCAGTTGGGCGAGTGCCTTGTCAAATGTGGAATTCTCTAAGTGTAGCAAAAACTCTCTATTCTAGGGAATAGTTCTTAATCTTTTTTTAGGAGGAGGGGGCGGTCATGAACTGTTTTGAGAATTCAGATGCCTTTTACCAGAAAAGACGAGACACTCACACACAACATCTTGTGTATAATTTCAGAGAGTTCACAGACCGTATGAAAAACCAGCCGTTGATCCCCTAAATGTCCCTGGGCTCTGGGTTAATAACACCTAGACTAAGGGCTAAAGATCAGTGTTGGTGGGTGATGGATTTCGGAAACCTCAGAATGCACAGAAAACAGCTGCAATGAAAATGTGAACTGCTGGGCAGGAGCTACAACTCCCAGCAGGAGACGCACGGCTCGTGTACAATTACGTCCAGCGTGGCACTGAATGGGCTGCCATCTTTCCTTCCGCATGGTATCAACTCTTCTACTCATCCTATCACGAGATTTTATTTCATGACAGCAGGGCTCTGATTTTATGGTACAAAGTAGGTACAAAGTAGCTCTTTTTTGAGGGGGGGTCTCCCTTCTTTATTGATCTCTGGTGAAAATAACCTCCTTTTTAATACAAAAATTTGCCTTGCAGTCATTTCAGCTGAAACAAACCCACCTTTTAGCAAGAGGGAGGAGGGGGAGGAGGCTCCTGTGTGGGAAGAGCCGCTCTTCCTGCCACTCCTCCCCTCCTTCCTGCAAAACCCTGGCTCCTCACTTTCTCTAATACCTGACACTCCCTCCACTGACTTCTCCTCGCCTTTATTAGTGTCATTTCATTTTCTTGAAGTGGCACCTGAACATCCCGTATCAGTTCCAATCTTTCAAATGTCTGGGGTTTATTTATCTCATTCCATGTTGCTGGGCACGTATCTGATTTCCAAGCCGCACAGCACCCTCTTGCATCCTAAGGGGCAGCTTGGCTCTTTTGATCACTTGTGTCACCATCTCCCATGTTCCTTTTTAACCTCAGGCAAACGTAATCTCCCTCCTTCAATATTTCGTACTAACTTAACTGACCTTTAATTTTTGAAAATCGTGTTTAAAAGCATGATCTGAAGGATAGACCAACTTAATAACCATAATTACAAACTGCACGGTGATCTGTTTTGCTTGTCTCACCATCACCCCCCATAAACTACATTTACCAAAACTTTATACAGACAGGGAAACTCATTAGTTACTCGGACAATGTGAGATTTTCCCCTCTCTTCCCAAAGGAAAATCCTATAGAATACCATCATGTTTCAAGGCAACATTCCTCACCACATTGCGTGCTATCCAACACCTCTCAGCCTGTGTACTTTGTTCAGGCCGTTCTTTGATCCTATTCTAAACAAATCCTTTCAGGGTTCTTGAGATCCTAAATCTACAAATATTTTGGGGACCTTTATTCTTCTATCCTTAACATCAGGACCTATCACCCTCCTTTTGCCCCTGGGCCTCTGACAGTACTGAGCTACTTGCCTTTCCACGCTCTTCTGGATTCTTGCTGGTGTGGTTGTGTCTGGCGGGGATGCTCTTCCTCCCTTGATACCTGGATGATTCCCAGTCCTCAAGTGTCCCTCAACAACCCTGTAACGCTTTCCTGGGTCCCTCCTCACTGCAATCCAGACCCACATGGATGGCCCTCCTCTGGTTTTCAAGGCTCGCATGTCGTCAAGCTTATGGGACTGTGCTAACAGCTGCTGACCTACTTGTCCCTGCCCACGCCCCCCAGGAGACTGACAGGTCCTTCAGACCAGGGAGTGGGTACTGCCTGTCACCTAGAGCGTCACCCTCCTTCCTCCAACCCCCTGTTTTGGGATGTGTTCATTCCTCTAATTCTAACCAGGTGGCTGAAATGGGAGCTGCCGTTACCCTGCCTTCCTGGCAGAGTGCGAGACACAAGTGGTCTCTGACACAAGAGGGACAGTCGTCGCCAATGTTTAAGCTTAAGCTGTGAGCCTGATGGCTGCCTGTCTCCAGCCCAGTGAAGGGAGCCATTCTGTGCGAAGAGAGCTGGCATGAAAGGAGAAGACAGAAAGAACTGGGAGGCATCTGAACTCCTGGCTGTGGTCATTCCTGGGACTGCACTTCTCATGCTTTGCTTATCTGAGTCCATGAAGCCTCCTTTCTCCAAAGCAAGTGCAACTTGGGTTTCTGCTCTTTGCAACCAAAGAATCCTCCCAAGTAATACTGACCGACTTCTCCAGTCGCTGAGGCAGGGTTTGGCATTCACTAGAGGCTCTGTAAACAAAGCCTGAAATCATGTTTGCTGTCATGTGGAATCAGGGACTGAGGTAAGAGTGTGAACACATGTCATACTATGATAGGTGTAGGTATATACACCTTAAAGCTGTATACTGAAGTAGGAACTCCATATTCATTCTGAGCATCTATTTGGGTCCGAGTTGTTCTGTATATTTAATCAACCATCATGCAGAAGTGTTGGCTGATCTGATTATTTCTTGGTTAACCGAGAATAACGAGCTCTTCCTGAAAAACAGAATGAGGGAGACTGTGACCTGCATACAGACTCAATACAGCTGTTCAGCTAGCTTTTGTGTGCATTGAGCACCGACCATTGCATGTGAGAGACAAGACAGCTGAGATGGACACTGTTTACCAGCTGTGTGACTCTGGAGAAGCAACTTAACTTTTCTGGGCCCTGCTTTCCCCACTCGCCTCAGGACTCCCGGGACTATTGAGAGAATGAGAAGACAAAACACGTATGGTGGCACTTTGTTGTTATCAAATCCTTTCTAGGGGAACCATATCGGGCTCTTCTTTAAACAAATGGAGAAAGGCAGGGTCACCCCTTCAAGAGCTGGCCGAACGCACCTAGGTCAAGGAGCTGAGGTGAGCTCTCCCATGTCCTCTCCTCCTTGCTTGACGGTCAAACAGAGCTTTTGGACACGTCCCACTTTGCCACGGCTCAGAAAGCCTCTTAGCTCTGCCTTTGGCCATGAAGATGGATCCTGAGTCTCCTGCCTACCTGTTCTATCCCTTGGAACGTGCCCCGGGTACCTGCCCTGGCTGACGAGTTGGGCTGAACCTTGGTGGAACCTGACAGACAGTTCCGGGATTGCGCAACGTCCAGGATGCCTCCATAGGACATAGCCAGCCGGGTCCAAGCCTGGGTGAGGACAGCTGGCCAGACAGTGCGGGCCAGCACGGGCAAGCTGCCTGGGGGCCCAGCAGCTCTGACTCCACTTCCTTCCTTGCTGAACTTTGCATAAGTAACTTCCAGCAGCTTCCAAGTCTGCTTGACTGGAAAGGGACATCTCCGACACCTATTCCATGGCCTCCCCTACAGTGGGAGGCAGTGGCAGAAAGACAGAGGCTTTGGAGACCTGGGTTCCAATCCCAGCCCTGCCACCACTGTTGAACTAGCACGTGAAATACAGCCTTGCTGGGTCGTGTGCCCGGTCAGTAAAATGGGGACAAATGAAGCCCATATTACATTGCAAGGATGATCAATAGTCACAGAGCTGCCGGGTATACAGTAGGTACTCATTAACAAAGGATGTTTCCTTTCCCATCCCTCAGTTATTAAACAATCCCCATCATTGGGTTATCTTCTATCTCTGGCAGAAGCTTGCATGCAAACCTGAATCCACAAATAAAAATAAATTTTGGGGGGAAAAATCTATGTCCTTATCTCCTCAATATGCTGAGACCCAAGTTCTAGGTTCCCCGTTCCCCCAGCAGTAAGGGAGGACACAGCATGAGCTACACTCCTTCCAAGCCTGGGGAGGTGGGGGTGAGGCAGTGGGGCTCAGGGTGAAGACAGGCTCTCCGCCCTGCCGCTGACAGGGAGGAGCTCATGGCTGGGTACAGCTCACAAAGCACGGTCGGGGTTGGGGGGAGGCTGGCGATGTGTGACAGCAACAAAAATAATTCCCATCTGCAGGGGCTGCTTGTGTTTTCAGAGCACTTTCTCTTCTTTTGTCTGTTCTCCCCCCTACAATATCCAAGTGAGATGGGCATTATCGTTCCCATCTGACAGACAAGGAAATGAAGCAGAGAGCGGAGGAGCATCCCCAAGGGCTCTCGGGAATCAGACAAGGCTGTGCTCACATCCCGCCCCAGCTGTGTGACCTTGAACTAGCTGCTTACCTCTGGGCCCCTACTGGCTCACCTGGAACATGGGTCCAAAAGCACCTGTCTCATAGGGTTGTTGTGAGGTGTATGAGGGTTTGTCACACGGTAGAAAGAATGGAAGATTTGCAGATCTGTCTTAAATCCAGGAGCGCCAGGTGTTAACTTCACGAAGGCACCAGACCACAAGTTAGCAAAGAGCTGGTCCCAGGACCTCGGTGTGCTTATTCCTTGAGCCTCAGCTGTTTTAGAACTTCACTTTGGATGCTTCTTTCCTGAGCCTCTGGAACTGAATGTATCCTAAGAAGGCCCCAAGACCCCCTGGTGAGCCAGTGCTGTGTGGAGAGACAGAGTAGAGAAACCACGCTTCCCCTGGGAATCAGAGACCATGTCTGGTGGACCCTGTACGGACACAAAAGCCAGAGATCCGGACCCCAAGCCAGGCTCATTCTGTGCCTCAGTTTCCACATCTGTGACAAGGATGTGACTTACTTCTGCCTTGACTTTTTAAACTGTCACTTGGGCCATGACAACAGCTGCCTGCCCGGCTTCCCTGTTGCCCTTGGGCCTGGCAGCCGTCTTTTTCTCTATTTCCCTGCCCTTCAGCTGAGCCCCTGACCCAAGTGTCCTCCTTGGAATGTGGAGTTTTAAGGATACTGTGGCTGTCTGGAATGAGGATCTCTAAACTTGGGAGCGCTGATGGAGATTTTTCCACGTGCGTGATGAAGCAGTGAAAGATAGAAGGAGGAGATGGAGAGAAATGAGGCAGAGAAGTGGAGAGAAGCAGGTGAGAAGCCATCAAGACAAGCATAGAAAACAAACGTGTGGTTACCAGGGAGGAAAGGGGGTGGTGGTGGAGGGATAGATTAGGAATTTGGGATTTGCAGATACTAACTACTACATATATAAAACAGATAAGCAGCAAGGACCTACTGTATAGCACTCGGAACTATATTAAGTACCTTGTAATATTCTATGATGAAAAAGAATATGAAAAGGATGTATTTATATGTACAACTGAATCACTATGCTGTGCACCAGAAATTAACATAACACTGTAAACTGATTAGACTTCAATTTAAAAAAAGAGAAACCATTGGGTTCCAGAGGAAAAGACAGGGAGGCATTGGCAACATCCCTGTTTCTGCTTTCAGCACCTCAGGAGGCCTGTCTGCCCTACCCCGAATTCTGTAAGATATCCTTACATTTTATTCAGTCAACATTTTTTCTTTTAATATATGCTAGCTTTAGTGGGTTCTGCTTCTTGTAACCAAAAGAAAGTGACACGGATCATACATGTGTGCTTTTCCCTACGTCACCCTTAGAAGGGCTACCTCACTGATGAAATCACAGTCATTGGTTGTCCCTGGTGGTGCCCAGTTGTCACAGCATCCGGGCAAGATCCTAGACTTTAGAGGCTCCCGCCAAACACAAGGCATTGGCCATGAACAACTGGGCCAATGTAGCTCCAGACAGTTGGCCTCTGCTTTATGGTGCAAGGAGATGGCCATTGAACTGTCTCTGACTTTTCCTTGGCTGCTTTCAAGCAGGAGGTAGTATAGAATGGTGATTAAGAGCACAGGTTCTGGAGCCAGACTGCCCAGTTCTGCACCAAAGTTCCAACCACTACTAGCTGTGTGACCTCGAGCAAGTAATTCTCTCTCTCTGTGCCTCAGCTTACTCATCTGTAAAATGGAGGGTGTCGATACTTAGCTCATAGGGATACAGTGAAGAGAGAAGTGTGCAGTGTAATAAATTAATCCTCACTACATGTGCCTTAGGCTTTTCATATCCTAAACAGAACAGAGAAAGCATCCAGAGGAGAGGCTGTGGCTGGTGGGGCTGTGAATAGATGCTAGTTTCATCTCCACTTTGGTTTTGAGGAGGGAAGCTGGTAACTTCAGAGAAAACTAAGGCCTTGAAGAGGGAGCAGACAGAAAAAGAGATCATCAAAGAGACTGATGGGCAAAGAAGAGGACAGCTTGCCAGGCTCAAGGAGGGCCTCGAAGCCACCCCTCAGAGAAGCACTTGGAGAAATAAAACGCTGTCCTGAGAAAGGAGAGCTAGACTGTGTGACTGAACAAGAAGAGACACTCCTGCTGCCTGAGAATGGAGGGGGGAGCACAGCTCCACCAGCAGTGCGGGGGAGCAACGGGGCTCCAGAGAGAAACGGCAAGAAAAACCAGTTGGAAACGTGAGGAGAATGGCAAAGCAGGAGAGTCAGAATGAAGCTCGCAAAAATCTTGATCGTAAAGATTTTGCTGAGTTTAGAAACCGCCCTCAGAAAACCTTTGAAAAAAGCACACCACCTCTTTGAGGATGAATGAAATCCCAGCAGCGCATCTGCAGGCTACTTTCAGCTCATCAATACAAAGTTACTATAAATGGTTCGGTGCAGAAAACTGTTTCAAATGTCTGACAGGCCAGTGATAATGTTACTGACTTAAAATTGCAGATTCTTAAGTCAGGCTGCTTGACTATAAAACCTGGCTCTGCTGCTGATCAGCTCAATGACCTTGAGTAAGGGTCAACTTCTCTGTGCCTCAGTCTCCTTGTCTGTAGAATGGAGATGGTAAGTGTCTACTCCACATAATTAGGGAAAAGAAAAATGAGCTGAGACATACACAATGCCTGAAATGCTGTATGGCCACAGGGAAGGCTCAGTGGACATTAGCTATTCTCTGCCTGTGATTTTTATCCCTTTATGTGGTGGGATACACGGACACGTACATGTATGTGTATGGCGCCCACACATACACGCGCAGTCCAACAAATCCAGTGCAAACAACCAACCTGGTTATCAAGAGCTCTGTCACATGCAAGGGCAGAGCGAGGGCACAGTCTGGCTGAAGAGCCGAAGTAGAAGTTCTGAGAGCCTCAGCTGCCAAGTATAGCCTTCATATCAGGCACCAGTAACAATCACACGGATGCCATCTCTGACCCTCACATCCTATCTTTGGATATAAACCTTCAATGTGTTAGGACACTCTCTCCTACCATCACTCTGTAGCTATTTCACACTGCAGACCCAGAGAACCCCAGCGTTTGCTTCTCTGCTATTCCTGCCCTGCCCCTTCCCACCCTGCCCTCTGAGAGGGGACACCTGTGGGCCACAGCATCAGGCCTTCACACTCCCTGGTTTAAGTAACACCCTGGCCCGGGCCAACCAAGCTCATGGGAAGGGAGATCAGAGGCTCCCCTGACATGTGACGAGGACAGTTGTCATGGCAGGTGTCTATGGGCTTCCCATGGGATGGAGATAGCCAGGAGCCATGGTCCTCATCACCCAAATAGTGCTCCATTGTCCCTCTTTGGTGAAACCCTCTCTCCCCGAGGTTTTCCTTCCCATCTTCCCTTTTTTTTCCCCCTTTTAATCTTCTCTCTGTCCATACTGTCCCCTCTCCCCTCCCCAGTTCCCATCTCATTACCCAACTGCCTGGGCTAAAAATACTTCTGGCAGCCGTGATCAAACCCAAACTGAGCAAGATGCAGATTTAATGAGGCTTCCATGGAAACAAGGTTCCCTTTGCCAGGCAGAAGAATGTGTCTGCACCAGGGAAAGGGGGCAGGCAGGGAGGCATGTAGCGAGGAGATGGAGATGTTGGTTAGATGGGGACAGTGGGGAGTCATGGGAAGCTTCTTGCCCACCCCTTCCTTTTCTGGAAGGAATTTGGCCCACAGCCGGGGTCTGCACCTACTAGGGATGGTCAGCTGTCCTGGTCAGCAGTATTCTGAGAACCACACTGTGTGAGCTCAGCAAGGGGAACCTAAGCTTCTTCCAAGAGGGAGATCAATATTTAACCACGGGAGTCCCTTAAACAGTCAAACGCTTGGCACCTAAAAAAGGAAATAAATTAAAACATCAAAATAAAAAGCTGCTGACTCTAAGGTTCCTGTGCTCTGATTACAACCAAGAGGGTGCAGAGGAGCGAGGTTGAGAAGGGTCAGGCAGACATGAAGACAGTTTCTGCCCTTCTCCCTCTAGTCTGTGGTTCTCTGGGCTGCTGGAGGCATAAGGTTCCCGAAAGAATTGCAAAGGGAAAGCTGAGCCCTTCCACGCCCAGCTGCAGTTGGTGAAATGACCCTGGGTTCTTCCCACCAGAGCAGGGACCACAACCACTATAATCCTGCTACCTCTCCCAGGCTCTCACCACTTTCCACTAAAAACACTGAGCTGTCACATCTTGAGAAGCAATGTGTGTGTTGATTAAAAGCAGAGGTTGGCAAACTACAGCCTACAGGCCAAATCTGGCCCATAACCCATTTTGTGTGTGTGTGTGTGTGTGTGTATGTGTGGCTTGTGATTTCAAAATGGCTTTTGCTTTTATAGAGGGTGGTAAAAGAAAGAAAGAATAGGTGACAGTGATCACATATTCTCTACAAAGACTAAGATATTTACCATCTGCCCTTTATAGAAATAGTTTGCCAAATCCTGGTTAAGAGCAAAGACTACACACTCAGACAGGCATAATTAGGTTCAAATCCCAGGTCCTCCATGGACTAACTCAATGAATTTATGGAATTTACTTTATCTCTTTGCGTCTCAGTTTTCCCAGTTGTAAAATCAGACTAAGTACCTATCTCATAGAGAATGAAGATACCAGCTTAGTAGTGTTCATTGCATAAATGCTCTATAAATAGTAGTTAGCACATCAGGAAGGATGAGAAAGTACCTTTGAAGTATGGCAGGAAAACGACCTAGATTCTTTTCCAGAATTATCCCAATTACAAATATTCTGCCACTTGGTTTGGATAAGCATCAGATATGCATTCTCCCGACTGGTTCAGGAATTAGAATTCCCAGAGTTCAAAAGTCTTCCATGGAAACAGTGATTCTGGGCCACAAGAAGTTTGCCAAAGGCTCTTCTGATGAATACGTAAAGCCAGCATTTGCTGCTCACCCAAATCACGGCCGTGTGCTCTAAGTCCAGTCCCATTATGCACAGACTTATTAAAGCCAATATCATCAGAACTGTGGAACCGCAGAAAAGTGGCAAAGAACATACAGTGGTAAAGAACACATCTGACAAACTCTAATAGCACAAAATTACTCTGGCTTACCTTTTTCTCTTCTTCAGCTTTAAAAAAAGATTAAATAGATAAATGAGTTCAAAAGCCCCCAAAGAGACTTGACACTGCATTCATTCATCCTTTGGAATAAATAACTGAGCTGCAGAGCCAAAGTGATGCTGAGAAGGTCGTGCTGATGAGGTCAAGGTTAAACCTGGATCAGCCATTCATCTTCATGTGGTCAAAAATTCAGACAATGTTCCCAGCCAGCAGCCCTGTTAATATCTACGCTGGTCACAGAAAGCAGCTAGATGGAGGGATAGGGTCCAGAACCGTCACTTCTACCAAAAGACAACAGCACACAAACGACCACAGGCTTTCTAGACTGATGGCTGATTTCTGGCACAGTTTTTATTAGCTTAAAAAAAAGGAGGGGTATTAGAATGTTTAAGATGTATTTTTGCAATGAAAAGGCCCAAGAGCAATTTTAAATTGTACTCAGATGACAAAGAGCCCCACAGGGCCAAGAATGGAAATGGGGAAACTGCTCAGTGTGGGAAATGATCGGAGCCAAATGAGTATATACCTATGTAGGGCCTCCACTGTGCTCACAGATGTTTTTTAAGGGCCTAAAAGGTCAACACGGTTCCATTCTGAAAAACTGAAAACCTCTTTCAAAAAGAGGATTATACTTTGTACACATTTTTTCCTTGTAAGGGCAGAAAGAAAGAAAGAAGTGGGAGACCAAGGGTCTTATGAAAGACTTCCTGATTAGATGTCAGGAGACTGTTCTAGCCATGTTTCTACCTCTGGGAATCTGAGTTTTGACATATCATCAAGCTTTTGTTTCTCAAAAATCTCTGTCTGATAACAGTCACAATCCTTCCTTA